CCCCAAAACCCCAAAACCCCAAAACCCCAAAACCCCGTTGGGATGGTAGTGAATTGAAAAGGAGGTAATGGAGGGTTGTGAAGAAAATAAGTTTTAGTCATAAATTTTTATACGGTTGTGTTGCAGGTAATGGTCTACTTGTTCGAGCATTTGTTGGGAGGTGTAAGAGAAATTTAAGGAGGCTTCTTCTTCTCTGATTGCCACTGAGTATAAATCATAAGTTCTTGCAGCCTCGAGTTCATTTGTGAACGTGCCGATATATCTTTTCACTTGATCTACATTAACCAAAGCTTGCCAATTGGAGTTGTTTTTTGATACTCCAATATACTTAGACCTCCTTCTGAGATTCTTCTTAGTGACACTCCGTGCTTTCTTAGATGAAGCAGAAAATCCAGAGATAGAGTTGTTGAGTAAGCGAGTTCTAAGTTTAAGAAGACTTTGCCTGATATCCACTTCATCAGTTTTTCTCTTTCTTTTCTCTAGGGTTGGCTTTGTGCTCTTCATTTCATTACGATCTTCTATTCTAGATTCTATCTCATAGAGGTTAGCCTTAAAGTTTTCTCTGGAAACCTTCGAATCGAATTGAATTAGTCGATAATTAAGATGAAGGTTTATCTCTCCCTCTATTTTTCACCTACAGAAAATGTAAGAATTGTGATAACAAAGAAAAGCATTAAGATAAAACTTCCTACAAAGCATTTTGATATCTTACCATTCGCTTTGCTTCTTGGTGAGTCCATTACTAATTCCTGAGCCCTGGTCACCAGCACAGAGTCAATATTCTTGAGGATCCTGTACCCTCTTAATGAATTGGCTCACTCAGAACACTGAGCTAAGCCTCTGGATTATATCAGAGTATCCCCACATTGGCAGGGGAACATAATTTGTGTTGTCTCAAAAACCTGAATTTTTCATTAAATATTATTAAGTTCTAATTTTTATTTTTATATACTTATCTCAAGTTTTAATCATAAGATTCCCTACTCTATCTGGTGACCCTTCCATGCTCGCATAAATATCTGTGGGCTGACACCTCTCTGATGATTATTTTTCCGTCTTTAATGTCAATATTTCCAACAAATGAGCCCATTGGAGAGCTTCTATTTTGTAAAGTTTGTCCTATGTTAAGTTTCTTGAAATAAGAGCATGAAACTTTTTAAATTAACACTTTGTTATTTACAATCATTTTGCCAAGTATTACTCTGTTCAAGAGTGGTAATAATGTTCATATTTGGCTTTGATCCCTTTTAAAAAGACATGCAGAGTATAATTGCAATGGAGCTTCTTAAAATCTGATGATAAATTATTTAGAACACTTCTTTGAATATACTTGATAGAAATGAGAGTTATTTCGAAACATTCTGGAAGTTATTTTTATCAAATTTTCCTCTTACTCTATCTTAGGGACTTAGCATATGAGAGTGGATACTATAATCATTATTTTAAGGCCTATGAACATCCTTAAGCATTGCAAGAATTTAAACACAAGTTGGTAGTTCAAAATTTATAGAGTTTTCAATAACTCGGGTTTCACTTTTTTAAATGCAATGAATACTTTTTCTACAAATTTTTTCTATAAATTATTTAACAAACTGCATCTATAGGGCTTGAATCTTCTCGTTGCATCAAGCAATAAATAAATGCAAGCTAGCTCTTCTTTCACTATCTTTCTCCCAAAATCTATTTATAGCTTGAGAATATCAGTACTAAATTTATTAAGCTTGAACATATTTTGATTAAATTCGTGTTGCTGAATGTTAACAAAATAGCAGAAATGAGGTCAAACAGTTAAGAGTTTCTAAAATTCTGAGACTCAAAATAAACACTTCATGAATTTTATTTGAGAAATGAAAGAGTTTGGTAAGGTAAGACTTATACATCTCTAGTTCAGGATCTACCCAAAATTTATTAAAGTGAATTATATTTCCACTTTTGAATGTAGTAAAAACGGAAGATCACCCTTAGATCACATTTAGACTCAGATATAGATCTCTTATCATTATAGCATCAAGAGCTAACAACTCTGGATTCAGGTTGTTTACCTCAAACAAGACTGTCTGCTAAGACTAGTGCCTACTCGCCACTTATTATTTCGAAGTTTATTAAATTTTAAATACGAAAGTTTACCTGGAGTCCATAGAGCAGACCTCATAATCCTAACTTACAATGCAAAAACAGAGTAAAATTTCAAAAATAATAATTTTACGATGTTTGCAGATTTTCTAAACACTAGCCAAGTTTCAGAGGCATCTTGGTTGTTCACCATCAGGAAAACGAAGAGCAGTTTCTTTCATAAATATTAAGAAGCAGCTATACTCAATTCTGAACCATACTTTAAGGAAACCTTCATTTCTTGCTAAATAAGCTAGTATGGCTCTCAGTCATGATTCTGCATCTCAATTTCCCATAAGTTCTTTGTCTTTGGTTGTTGGTTATAAGTTTGTTAGCTAGCAAATTTTTAGATAAAAGAGGCAATAAAATGGAGATTTGAAATTTATCATAATTTCCTCTGAAATAAAAGGATTAAGACTCCAGAGAATTTATCTAAAGTAACTACAGATTATGTAAGCATTCTTAGAAACTGTTTGGATTACTTAGAAGGGGTTTCAAAGAAATTTACACCCATCAAGAAAGCGAATTATCAAATGTACTCGAGGATACAGTCTGGATGTGTTCAAATTTTATTAGAGCAACAGGATTCATTCGGACGAAGCCCAGACTTGAGAAGATAGGTTTAGAATTAAACCAGCTTTCGTTAGTGAATTGAATTTTTATGATTAGCGAAAATTTTTCTCTTGAGTATTGTTAGATTTTCCAAAAATAAGCAACCTCTGACAGGATACACAAAGAAAATATATGTAATAAAAGATCGAAGCCTATCATAAAAAAATTGACGAAGGACTGTCTCTCTGGTGTATCAAATTCTCCATATTAAGCATCAGAGGGCAATAAATCATCTATGGCTCACTACAGATTCCAAAATTAAGGTTGGCAGACAAAATATTGAAAAATTAGTGCCAGAGCTTCTCTTTGATAGGGCAATGAAAGATCTAGCTATAATTTTGAGATATACCACAACGAATATTACTCTATTCATCCCAGCAGTCTTCTCTCCTATCTAGAAGTTTCCTTTGAAAACTGATTTTAACAGTTCATGAAAATTTAGATATCTTTGCTTCTTAAATTGCTAGATTTTATATGGATTCACAAGATAATATGAACCAGGAGTGTAAGAGAGAGTATCTGAAGACAAAAGATTGGCTTACAAGGGAGGCTAGATCCTGGCTGCTCCCTCTCAAGATTAAGATCAGTTGATAAATTGGGATTGAGCAGCCATTTTAGTTTGTAAATAATATTAAAAAATTTTACCCATCCGATTGGAAATAGCTGATAAAGAGCTTAAAAGACGGCTTAAAGGGATAGAGAAATTGTTAGATTGGCATCAACCTATCCATACTCAAAGAATTCACCTATACTCAAACAAATTCTTGGACAATTTGCCTTTGCTAGACTAAATATTCCGAAATTTCTTTTGGAAAGTCTCATGAACTTAGAGAAAATTCAATCAAATTTAATCAGTTGTATCCAAGTTCTAAAAGAGAATAAATGCTGTTAATTCAATTGGCTGGACATATTTTGGGGTTTTGGGGTTTTGGGGTTTTGGGG